CCCTTCTCCATTCTCCTCTCAGGATCTTGGGCACGCATGCACACGCGCCCGGCGTGAGTTTAAGCTACTGGTTAGGCCACTGGATCCGGGACTTGAACTGCGGTCGACTACGTGGGAGTCCAGCAACATAGCCTTACACTAACTGCTGCTCCCATGCCTGGGGTGTTTTTAAGCCACAGGGTCCAGGACTTGAACCATGCCGTTGGCCATGTGGGATCCAGCCATCTTAACTTCCACGTCATCTGCTGGCCCTACACAACCTGTTTTACCATGTAAAATGGCATATCTGTAGGTTCTCTGTGCACATCTTCGGGGGGCTATTATTCAGTCTCCCATAAACATCATCAGATTTAATCCCAGACAACAGTGCTGTGACACAGTGTGAAGATGGTGTGAGTAGCTTCGTTGACTAGATGTGGAAAGTGCATGACAGGTAGTGGACACTCAACCAATGTCTGTGACGCTGATCTAGGACAAGAGTTGATTGACATAAAGTCATTCTTCCCTGAACAGAGGCCTTGGAGGATCTAGTCCTGTGTCTTTCCTAAAGACTCTTCCCATTCGGGCTGGCAGGTAGCATGGTGGTTAAGAGTGCTGACCCCCACATGGCCAACCATGGTTCAAATCCCTGACCTGGCATTTTGCTGTCTCACTTTCCATCTCTCTCTCTCTCTCACACACAGACTCTGTCCCTCTCTGGTCAAATTAAAATAAATAAGTAAAGTTAAATAAAATAATTAAAAAAAAAGACTTCTCCCATAATCCTCTCCACTGGGGGAAGGTAGAGGTCCTGTTAGAGTGTTTAGCACCTAATTGTTCCTCCTAGGGTCATTCTCTCTGTCCAGAGAGACCACAATCTCTTACCTTGCAAAGCCCAACTCTCTCACAACTGTATTCCTAGTTATTTGGCTCTTTCCACACTGCCACGGACTTTCGCAGATTTCATTCTCTCCTTCTTAGTCTTTACAAGGAGGAAGCATATACCCGTTTTGCAGGAGAACAAAGTGAGGCTCAAGCAAATGCAGACTGCTGGTCCCAACAGCTATTTTTTTTATAGGCTGCCAAGCTCAGCCCTCCCTCTCTACGCTATCAGTCTAGAGATTCGCTTCAAGGGCAGAGAAGGGTTACACATCCCTGCTGGTTTTCAAAGCACCCCCAGCACACACACTCACACACGCACACACACACATGCCTACCTGCCTGCCACAGCTGTGAAGGAGCGGGTGTTCCTCTCCAAGTGGTTTTTGGTTTTGGAAGAAAGTGTACAGGTTACAGAAGATGGGGGTGCTACTGAGAGGTGGGAGCTAACCATGAAACAGGATAGCATCTTAGTTTGTTTCTGCATTGCGGATAGAAATACCTAAGACTGGATCATTTATTTTTAAAAAACAGAGATGTGTTTGCAAAATTCACTATCATGATAGCAGGGAATTCTGAAGGAATCACAAAATGGCAGAAGATGGAACTTTTAGCAGAGGAGAGTGTGTTCTGTATCTATGAGCCTCTCTCTCTCCTTTTTTTAATTAATTATTTTTAACCTTTTTGTTTGTGCTTTTGTTTTAGGGCACGTGTGTTTGCCAGAGAGAGAGAGAGAGAGATCACCTCCTGCAAGAGGTGATAACCACATCACAATCTCTTCTCCTTTGTTCTCCTCCCGGGATTCTGGGCACACACACACACACACATGCGCCTGGCATTTTATTTTATTTTATTTATTTATTTTTTTGAGAGGCCTTTGCTACAGGGCATGTGTGCTCGCCAGAAAGACAGAGAGAGACAGAGAGACAGAAAGTGAGAAATCACGCCCCAGGGGGGATGGCCAGGCCGCAATCCCTTCTCCATTCTCCTCTCAGGATCTTGGGCACGCATGCACACGCGCCCGGCGTGAGTTTAAGCTACTGGTTAGGCCACTGGATCCGGGACTTGAACTGCGGTCGACTACGTGGGAGTCCAGCAACATAGCCTTACACTAACTGCTGCTCCCATGCCTGGGGTGTTTTTAAGCCACAGGGTCCAGGACTTGAACCATGCCGTTGGCCATGTGGGATCCAGCCATCTTAACTTCCACGTCATCTGCTGGCCCTACACAACCTGTTTTACCATGTAAAATGGCATATCTGTAGGTTCTCTGTGCACATCTTCGGGGGGCTATTATTCAGTCTCCCATAAACATCATCAGATTTAATCCCAGACAACAGTGCTGTGACACAGTGTGAAGATGGTGTGAGTAGCTTCGTTGACTAGATGTGGAAAGTGCATGACAGGTAGTGGACACTCAACCAATGTCTGTGACGCTGATCTAGGACAAGAGTTGATTGACATAAAGTCATTCTTCCCTGAACAGAGGCCTTGGAGGATCTAGTCCTGTGTCTTTCCTAAAGACTCTTCCCATTCGGGCTGGCAGGTAGCATGGTGGTTAAGAGTGCTGACCCCCACATGGCCAACCATGGTTCAAATCCCTGACCTGGCATTTTGCTGTCTCACTTTCCATCTCTCTCTCTCTCTCACACACAGACTCTGTCCCTCTCTGGTCAAATTAAAATAAATAAGTAAAGTTAAATAAAATAATTAAAAAAAAAGACTTCTCCCATAATCCTCTCCACTGGGGGAAGGTAGAGGTCCTGTTAGAGTGTTTAGCACCTAATTGTTCCTCCTAGGGTCATTCTCTCTGTCCAGAGAGACCACAATCTCTTACCTTGCAAAGCCCAACTCTCTCACAACTGTATTCCTAGTTATTTGGCTCTTTCCACACTGCCACGGACTTTCGCAGATTTCATTCTCTCCTTCTTAGTCTTTACAAGGAGGAAGCATATACCCGTTTTGCAGGAGAACAAAGTGAGGCTCAAGCAAATGCAGAGTCCACTTTGATAAGCGCTGGTGGAGGGCTCTGTCTTGCTCCCAATCCTTTCTTTACCTTATGATACCCAGCTCGAGGGACTCCCTATGCCCGTAGAGCCCCTTGCTTCATTTAGCCCTTGGTTATTCTTTCTGTGGTGTGTTTGTGGACACACACACATACACACACACACACACACCCAGCCCCCAGAACCTTCCTAGGACTGGCATCTCTACATGGTTGTTCCTCCTCCCCTTCTTCATCTGCAAAGTGCTGTGATCTTAGCCACTCTTCCCCCAACACACAGTGACTGAACGTACACATCCCTCACAGACCAGCTCCCCAGGGCTTCCTACGTGACAATGGATTTGTTACTAATAGGTTTTCTTTTCTTTTAAAAAATTTAAATGAGAGAGAGGAGAGAGAGATTTTTTATAGGGTCTGACTGCAATGCAGTCCTCCTGCCCCTGTCTCCCAGTTAAGTAGACTGTTTTTAGGTTGAGCCAGGAACGGAACCCAGGCCTCCTATGTGGCCCCAGTCCATTGCAGTGGCACCCCACTACCAGTACCCCTATAGCTGGGGCAAGTTTTATTTCCGTAGAAACATCTTGTGGTTTCCCTGGCAGTGGTTAAGAGCTTCAGGTCTGGAATCAGATTGCCTGTTGAAATTCAGGCTTTCCCACTCCAACTGTGTGACCTTAAAAAAGTAAATTAACTTAGTTCCAGCAGATGGTGTACTGATTATGTCACTGGACTCCCACGTAATTGACCATGGTTTGAGTTCCAGACCAGGTGGCTTAAACTCTCGCCAGGTGTGTGTGCATGCCCAAGATCCCTGGAGAATGATGGATTGTGGCATGGCCATTCCCTCAGGAGGTGACTTCTCACTTTCTGTCTCTCCAGCAAGTGCACGCACTTTATAGGAAAAATCTCTCTCTAAAATAAATAAATAAATAAGATAATAAAATATAAAAATCTATATGTATACATATCAATATAGATATGATATATAGATATAGATATAGATATAGATATAGAACTCATCTGAGCTCAGTTTCCTTGTCTGAAAAAATGAGGAATAATAGCAGTACTTTTCTCACTCAATATCTGGCCACACTTTTTGCTTAGAAGTTCCAGATTCTTCTTGCTGTCCCCTTCCCCAACTCCACGAGCCTGACAGCAGTGGGATGCTGATTCTCTAATATCAACTGAGGAAAATCCTGGCTATCGCAAGGAACTGCTGGAATGCTGGTTCTTCTTCCTTTCCTTAAAGGGTAGAGCTGATTTGGTTGGAATTTAGAGAAAACAAAACTCAGAGGTGAAATCATTCAGGAACGTCTTCTATGGCATCTCCTCCAGGGGCCAACACCTCCTCTCCCTCACCAAGCCAACATGGATGGGAAAGGAAAGGATGACTGGAAAGATGGTTGTCTACTTGGTGGGACACCATGGTGTGGGGGTGTGCCGCGTCCTCAGATGCCTCCTTTGTCTCATCACCCATGAACCAACCCCAATTGGTAGGTGGCTTGTGAGAGTGGGGAGGGGCCTCAGGGGTCTCTGGTCTCATGCCCCTCTCAGGCCTTTCTGGCCTGGCAATCCAGGAAATCCCGTTGAGGAGAGCAGAGTTTGAGAGTTTGTGCAAAGTTCACGCTGGGAGGTCAGCACCACGGACAGCAGTCAGCGCTCTGGAACCCGCTGCCAGGTCCAGGGAAGTCAGGAGGAGGCTGAGTTAGAGGCGGGCGAAGCGACTTGAGCCAGAGGGAAGGCGCGCTACTGGTGGTGGGGTGCCCATGGGCTGTTCTCGTTCTGAGTCACCCCGTGCGCCCCGCGCTCGCGTCGGGGCCTCGGAATGCTGGGGTTCTCTGCTTTTTCCAGCAATGGTTGGGGGTGGGGAGGGAAGGGGAAAGCACCACGTGAAGGTGCCGGGGATTTTGGCAGGAAGGAGGAAGCGGGAGACAAGGATGTGCTGGTGTCCCCCGCGCGCTCCCGCCCCCGGCCCGGCCCATTTCTATACAAGGCCTGCTCTCTCTAGCCTCCACCCCCGACCCAGAATACTCGTCGCAGGCGCGGAGGGGTACATTCCGTGGGCCTGAGCTCAGCTAGCGGGAATGTGGCCGATAAATCAGAGATAACCCCACAGGGCAGGGCAGTCCGGACACCCAGGCACGGGATAAAAAGCCGCGGTTGCGGGAGGAGCCAGGAGTCCCCACCCTCGGGCTATACGGAGGTGGAACAAGAACCCAAGAACCTGAGAACCGGGACACAGCGCGGCAGCGGCGGCAGCAGTGGCCCCAGTCCCAGCTCTCCAGCGACATGGACCCTCACATGATACTGCCCCGGGCGCTCCTGCTCCTCCTTTTCTTGCACCTGTCACCACTGGGCTGTCGTTCCCACCCCCTGAGCAGCCCCATCTCAGCCTCGGAACTGTCTGGGGTACAGGTGAGCGCCGAGGTCTGCATAGGCATGGCCAACCCAGAGGGCCTGGGCAGCGGCAGTCAATGGGCCCCCATCCTCCCTTGGGACTTAGTGACAAGAGAATCAGAAAGCAGTGAGATTCCCTATACCCAAGCAGCTGTCTCACTTGGGACCATCGAGGGCGGGCTGGCCGAGGTGTTAGTTCCAGAGACTCAGGCTCCCCCCTTCGATCGCAGGAGCTGCTGGACCTCCTGCAGGACAAGGTCTCGAAGATGCAAGCGGAGAGGATGGTCCGGGAGTCCCTCGAGCGCAGCCGCAGCCTTGCGGAACCCAGGGAAGGCCAAGAGGCAGGCCCCGCCAGCGTCCTTGGGTCTCGCGAAGGCGTGCTCCAGGCTCTGCGAGGTCTCCGCAGCCCCAAGATGATGCGCAACTCCAGCTGCTTCGGGCGTAGACTGGACCGAATCGGTTCTCTCAGCGGCCTGGGCTGCAACGGTGAGCCCCCATCCTGCCACCCCCCCCCCCCACCCCAGCCCCCACGCACCCCGCCCCCCCCCCCCCCACACCAGTCCCACTGCCCTGTGTGAGACCATGTAAAGACACTTCTGGGTTTGCTGTCTGGGAACTGCACACTCAGGGCAAAGGGTACCTGACATCGCTCCCTCTTGATGGCAATCTTCAGGGCTGAGGGGTGCCTTTTTGCCACTTTTAAATACGGGTACAACTTATTAACATGCCCAGGAGTCCCCACCCACCTTCCGGCCCACCTGCCCAGCTCACCTGGGCATCCTCTCCAGCCTCTCTTGTCAAAGGGGCCAGAACCTCCTGAGAGTGGAGTCTGTTTCTTGTCTGGCAGCCCAACCTTGGAGCAGACAGTCCTAAACATTGTTCTTCCTAGTTTCTCCTAAATGTCTAGAGCCTCAAAGACAGCATCACCGGGGCAATGATAATGCCCAGTTTACAGATGAGAAAACCGAGGCCCAGGGAGATGGACGATCCCAAAGGTTCAAACATCAAGACTGGCTCCAGACTGGGGAGTGTTACCTGCAGGGTGAGGGCTGCTCACCTCCCACTCAGCCTCCACCCTAATGCCAGCCTCACCTTCTCTCTTCTCTCCGCAGTGCTGAGGAGGCATTAGGAGGACGTCCTGGTCCAGACAACTGCTTCTGATGCTCCCAGGGGCTCTTTATCCAGTCCCAGGACAAGCCCCTCTCTTTGAAGCGGCTCCTATTTTTATTTATTTATTTATTTATTTACCTGGTTGTTTTATATTGCCTGTGAGCATACAGAGGACTTTCTCTGAAATAAAGTCAACATTATAGCTTTTCCTTTTGAAACTGATTTGTCTCCATGCATGACAAGTAACCTCTCATTTGAAAACAAAGCAAAACCCACAAAACTCTGTGTTTTCTTGAAAGTCCTACTGGAGTCTTTGCCCCCCGCCCCCTTTTTTTATGTCAGAAGGTGCATGCACTTGTGTGGGGGCAGGGGGGAGAATGAGAAATCGAGAGTACACCCTTCTCCATGGGACATGGTCATGTTGCGATCCCCTCTCCGTCATTCTTCCCTTGGGATTTTGTCTATGTATGCACACACATTTGATGTATTTCTTTTTCTTTCTTTTTCTTTTTTTTTTTTTGGAGAGGTTTTTGCTATAGGGCGCGTGCGCTCGCCAGACAGACAGAGAGAGACATAGAGACAGAAAGCGAGAAATCACTCCCCAGAGGGGATGGTCACGCCGCAATCCCTTCTCCTCCATTCTCCTCTCGGGATCTTGGGCACGCACGCACACGCGCCCGGCATGAGTTTTAAGCCACCGGGTCTGGGATGCGAACCGCAGTCGACTACGTGGGAGTCCAGCGACATAGCCATTACGCTAACTGCTAGTTCCCACACATTTGATGTATTTCTCAAGCCACTGGATCTGAGACCCAGACCGTAGTCAGCCATGTAGGATCCAGCTATTTTAATCACTAGACCAACGGCTGACCCCCAGTGGAGTCTTAATGGTGGGATGGAAACATGGTCTCTAGTACTGGCCAAGGTGGGAGGGGGCTTTCTTTTCTTTCAAGGTTTTTAAAGCTCTGAAATGTGTACAAATGCCTCAAACTCTTGAGACACTTTGCAGAAACGGCGATTTCTTCCTGGGTGTGGAATGGGTCCTGGCACGTCCCTGCAACAGGAAGGTCTGTCAAGGCTTTCTCGCCAGTGGTCTCTGTGCCTGGAATTCACCATAAACAGATTCCCCCAATCATTGTCATTTCCAAAAGATCTAGGCTAAAATGTCAGAGATTGGAGATTGTGTGTGTGTGTTGCACACTGACTTATTTGCATTCCTGTATGGGGTGAGCTCCCCAAACCTCAGCTTCAAATTTCCAATTCCTGATGTTCTCCTGAAAAGGAGTCTGCAAAACCACAACCCCAGGGTTAGACAGGTCCGACAAGGAGCCAGCTTTTCAGGGTGCTCGTCCCGAGTTTGCATGGTCTCTTCCCCTCCACTCCTGAGAGAGAAAAGGAGACAACCGTTTTGGAGAGGTTTTTGCTATAGGGCGCGTGCGCTCGCCAGACAGACAGAGAGAGACATAGAGACAGAAAGCGAGAAATCACTCCCCAGAGGGGATGGTCACGCCGCAATCCCTTCTCCTCCATTCTCCTCTCGGGATCTTGGGCACGCACGCACACGCGCCCGGCATGAGTTTTAAGCCACCGGGTCTGGGATGCGAACCGCAGTCGACTACGTGGGAGTCCAGCGACATAGCCATTACGCTAACTGCTAGTTCCCACACATTTGATGTATTTCTCAAGCCACTGGATCTGAGACCCAGACCGTAGTCAGCCATGTAGGATCCAGCTATTTTAATCACTAGACCAACGGCTGACCCCCAGTGGAGTCTTAATGGTGGGATGGAAACATGGTCTCTAGTACTGGCCAAGGTGGGAGGGGGCTTTCTTTTCTTTCAAGGTTTTTAAAGCTCTGAAATGTGTACAAATGCCTCAAACTCTTGAGACACTTTGCAGAAACGGCGATTTCTTCCTGGGTGTGGAATGGGTCCTGGCACGTCCCTGCAACAGGAAGGTCTGTCAAGGCTTTCTCGCCAGTGGTCTCTGTGCCTGGAATTCACCATAAACAGATTCCCCCAATCATTGTCATTTCCAAAAGATCTAGGCTAAAATGTCAGAGATTGGAGATTGTGTGTGTGTGTTGCACACTGACTTATTTGCATTCCTGTATGGGGTGAGCTCCCCAAACCTCAGCTTCAAATTTCCAATTCCTGATGTTCTCCTGAAAAGGAGTCTGCAAAACCACAACCCCAGGGTTAGACAGGTCCGACAAGGAGCCAGCTTTTCAGGGTGCTCGTCCCGAGTTTGCATGGTCTCTTCCCCTCCACTCCTGAGAGAGAAAAGGAGACAACCGTGATAGTCCTACTGTGTTGCCTTAATCAGCAGACACTTCTGGTAGGGGTGACTGCCCTCTCCTCTGTGGGTCCTCTTCCCACATATCCTGTGCCCTAGACATCCCAGGCCATGCTGCTGGACTCCTGCTTTCAGGCTCCTGGCTTTAGCTCATGCTGTTCCCCTTCCCACAATGCTGCTTATGATCCCAGCTCAGCTCAGGGGCAAATCACCACGAGGTCAGTAATATCATGAACCCCATTTTCCAGATGAGGAAACTGAGTCTCAGAAAAACCAAGCATCTTATCTGATACCCTACAGTCACCAAGTGCTAGTGCTGGGTTTGAGCTGAGACCTGAGTCTCTTAAGCCCTCACTCATGGTCCCTCCCTGCTGTTATTATTATTATCTTTTGTTCTTATTCATTTGAGGGAACATGAAAGGTGGGTCTTCGTGTTATTTCTCCTTATAGCCCAGTATGCATCAGAGGTTGTGATTAAATAATGAGAGCAATTTAAAAAAATTTAAAACTGAGGTTTAAGGAGCAGCTTATTTTCCAATAGAGTCATCTTTGTCTGTTTCTGACCCAGGGAGGGTAAGAGTAATTAGAATAGTTTTAACATTTACAAAGGTCTTAATCCAGTATGGGGCACAGTTCCGTTAACTCTTATTGTTCTTGTAACAACTTTAAGAAGTTACCCTCACTTTTTTTCCTCTTTTTTCATTTATTTACTTTTACATTTTTCCATAAACATTTACTTTACACATCAAAAAAATTTTGCTCATACTCCATAGTTCTTGACAGTTAATAAACAACTTTCAAATTTTCAAAATACTGAATTTTAAAGATAATGTTTAAAATATTTCTTTTTTTTTTTTTTTGGAGATATTTTCACTGTAGGGCGCGTGCGCTCTCCAGACAGACAGAGAGAGACATAGAGACAGAAAGCGAGAAATCACCCCCCAGGGGGGATGGTCACGCCGCAATCCCTTC